ATCAATATTAAACCTTAAAATAACTTGTATCTAAGTACAACCAAATTAATCTAAGGAGCTCAAAATTGTGTATTCCATTACATGTTTAAGGTTCTACAAAATGTAGAATTGTTAAAACCCAGGAGGAAAACAGACATTTTTAAATTTACAATAGTGTCGAGTTGCCAACTCCGATCTACGAGGTGCTGGGGAACTTAGAACTGTTTTAAGATCAAAAGAACTACATTGTTTACAAAAGACAATACAAATGGAAGTTTGTTTTTTTATACCAATTTAAGAATACAGTGACACTCTTATATGAGGTGACTACCTGTGTAGCTACACTGGATTTGGCAGAAATCAATCATGTTCACAATAATTCATGACCTTTATTGTTTAAACATTGTTTTTCTCGGGCAGAGTAGAAATAGATTAATTCTTTATATCTGTACAGTTAATGAATGACTCGATTAGTTTAACAATGTTAAAATGAAAGCCCAAAACATCTTCATCAACATAGTGTTGAACAAACTCATCTTTTGACTCAACAAATTTGTACCGATACATTTTCTTCAGTTCCTTTTAAACCTTCAACAAAGGCTAAATAATACTCATTTGATTCAATGTAATACTTTACAAACCCAAACTGGCTACATTTTTTATCAGTAAATTTTACTCTACATTAATTTCTTTTGTGTAACTTTCATTATGAAAAATGATGCCTCAAGTAGAAATGTGACTTGATATTATAAACATCTGGATATAACTAGATGATATTTTAGAGTTAATTATCTACAAGTTCACAAAAATCAACTATGATATTTACAAGTTTATGTAAGCATTAACATTTAGTTTATAATTACATCTTAACAACATAAGATTCCACAACATACTAATACTATTAATTCATCTGTTTTAATGAGTTTTACCACCTCAACAATGTCACTTTCCTGCTAAACTGTTTTATAGTAGATGAGCTTTAATGAGTTTTTGTTAGTCAAGTGCAGTGTCAGAAAATGCAAATTTCTAAACAAATATATACACATGAATATGGTTCACGACAATTAGTGTTTATGGGTTCCCTAAGTAAGATCTGCTATTTTATTTACTTATTATTCCTTTCATTTATAATATTGGCTATATTAATTAGTACATTAAATGTAGTTACTTTTTATTTTCATTTTTTACTCATTATTATAAGATTGTTTTGCATTGTTGTATTTTGAACTAACCTATATCTTCTAAGCTGGCCGAATCATGAGATATTATTCAGATTACAGCCAAAAATATTGTTAACAGCCATGGTACCCAAATGATGAAAAAATGAATTTAATCTTTATAAGTAGAAACATAACAAAAGTATATTTAATTATTTATACTGATGGCCAGGTTGATTTTTTATTTTTGCTCTAAGTGCAAAGCTTATACTGACTGGACACAAATATTCAGTTTGCATTTTGTTCTAAGGGATGTATTCTATTAGTCATCATAATGAGCACAATAGAAAATATATAGATCCACAAATTTCTTCTTAATATGGCTCAACTGCAATATCAGTGCAAAACTGTTTATCAGGAAGTGTGTGTGAGGTGGGTTAGTTGCATGGTTGAGGCTTAACTGCTCTTGTATGTTAGTTTTAACCTCAAAGTTTATATAACAAACATAATAATGTGTTGTGGAAGAACTGCATAATAGAAACTAAATATCAATGGTATTTGAAAGACATACTGTTTAACTAATTGGTTCAAATACAACTTAAGCTTTTTGTTTTAGCATACAATCTGAGAACAGATAAACTTAGAGGCCTATTAGCCAGTGACTTACCACAATCCTTTTTTTTTGCTACAAGTTAAAATTTAGTGGTGCTACTGAATGCCTAAATCTTTTAACTGTTTTTTAGTAAATACTTTTATAAAAAAAAAAGTGAATAAGAATATCATGAACCAAGTGTTTCATTAAATGTTAGACAAGTCCATTAACAATAAGGTAAAAACAAAATAAAAAAATGGAATGACAATTTTTACAGAGCCATAAAAATTTTATTTCAGGCCAATATATATTTCAAATTTAATGTTTGAGGATAATTTCTCACTGGAAGATTTTAATTTAGTTGAGAGAAAAAGACAAATATTTAATCAATATTTAAACTGCTGCCATTCAGCTAGGCTTAAGCATTTATTGTTTGTAAATCATATTAACATTATTCAAACTTTTAGTACTTTTGAAAAATTAAATAGAAATGTTCAATGTATTTATATTAATTATAACAATAAAATAAAAAAGAAAATAAGTTCAAAATATTACATTTTGTTTGTTCTTAAGCACAAGGCCACACAAAATGACTTTTTGTGCTGTTCCCACAACTTAGACTGAGCTTCGTCATTGATATGTAATATCCTACTGAGAAATACTGTTTTTGAAACAGTTTGTAAGATAGTCACTCAATTCCAACCATGCACAAACATGTGAACTGCTTGAAAAACATTAATTTTCTTAGGATTCTTACCATTCAGTGATTGTGTTACCATTTTGCTGCATGTCCTTTTGGTACAATGTTTTCATAGTTTTGATCGTAACCTGGTCAAAAGACTGGATAATTGTTACTGTAATTCCAAGCAGAAAAATATCTTTTATGTTTATAGGTTGAACTCTGGATGGTTTTGCTGTGCAACTGCTCAGAATGAGTGCAATTTATTTTCTTACACTTAAATTCTTAGTACTCCTGACTCAGGAAATTTATAAAATTATGGCTACTTAGTCATCCAAGCATTTCTGTTCAATATTCAATTTACAGATAAATCTTTGACACCATAGACACAATTTTGCTTTCACTGATAGTTATGGAGCCTTTTCTGTTCTCAACATGTTGCATGTTAAGAGAACAGTAACTCACCCTGGTGATTTTTTCTTCATAAATGTCATTTTAAGTTCATGCACTGCCCTAAAGTAGACTCCTGTTTCATTAGTGTTGAGAATTCTATCACAAATACAGTCTTGCATTTCACTCTTGAACATTTAAATGCTTTGACTTCTGAGACATGGTTTATATATGGTTTCCCCTCAATGTTTTCCACTCAGCCCTTCAGTAACCAGCAAGATGATCAAGCAGAATGTATGACAACTGCATTCTGACCAAGCCCGTATTGCTAAAGTAGCAAGTAGTAACCCTAATTACTATGTAAATATATTTGATGTGCTTGACTCAAATAGCTTAGAAGATAGTGAAAGTGAGTCAAGTGATGTTCAAATGCATGATGAAGAGGCAATGAAACAAGAGGATGCTAGCTCTCCATCTAGTGATGATAGTCAAGATGAACATAGACCCAGCAGAGGAAGATGTAAACAACATTGGAAATGGGAAACATTTGTCCCAGACGCGGTGTGAGGGGGTTGGACCACTGGGAAGTATACTTCCCAGCCACAGTAAATGGGTTAAGGAGAACGAGATACTTTATTGTCCATCTGGGCTATCTCATCCACTTAGTTAAACTTAAAAAAAACAAATGCTCAAAGCCAGCCCTTATCATTCAAATATTTATCAAGCCTTCCTTTATACTCCCTTAAATATGTGTCCACATCTGAAACAACTCATTCCAAAGACCCACCACTCTGTTAGAAAAATAAAAATGCCTTAGCTGAAGGTGACTCCTTTCCTGCCAAAATTTGTGTCCTCTAGTCCCACCATTTTTTTCATTAAGTAAGAAAAAAGAATATGCATCAACACTATCATTTCCCATTTTATAAACACCTAAATCAGATCCCCTCACACTCTTCTTTTTTAAGAGAAAACAATTTCAGAGATTTTAACCTGTCCTAACATGACAATATTTCCATTCCAGGTATCATCTTAGTAGCCATCCTCTGAACCCTTTTCAACAATTCAATGTCCTTCCTAAAGTAAGAAGCCCAAGACAAACACAATACTTCAAATATGGCCTAACCAGTATCCTTACAATGAAATTATAATCTCTTTAGACTTGCATTCAATATTTCTGCAGATAAAGCCTAAAATCCTATTTGCTTTACCACTACCAACAGAACACTGCTCGGATAGTTTAAAAGACTGATCAACCAGGGCATCAAGGTCTTTTATTTCCATAATACTATTAAGGTTATTCCCATTAAAATTATGCTTATAATTCAAATCCTGATAACCCACATGCATTACCTTGCATTTATTATAATTAAAAGCCACTTAAGTAATTTACTGAACATTTCCTCTCCTATGTCACTGATGTAAATCAAAAAGAGAAAATATCCAAATCCTAAGCCCTCAGGTACATTACTTGTTACATTAAACCAGTTTGACTGAACTCCATTTATACCAACCCTCTGCTTTCTTCCATCCTAGTATAATATTAAAATATGAACTCAACAAGGTCCACAATATCTCCAATGAAAAGGATAATGCATTTACCAATTTGCTCGATTCCATAAAACTGTTTTAAATATCTATAACTTACCATGTTACTGAGACTATAAATTACCCATAGTGTGAGCTGTCAACTAATTGTTGTTTTTATATGATTAGGTGAAGACATCCTGTATGTAATACAATATAAATATGTTTATCTTTAAATAGCTATAAAACAGCAATAACTATAAAAGATAATATTAGCCAGAAATTTTGATTTCAGAACTTTGTCTCAGGAAATTTCCTATAAGTAGGTACAATTAATTTCCCCAAAATAGAACTGAAGACCACCTAGAGAGGTCACCTGTTCTAAACACTCACACCACTATACTGTGCTGTTTATTACCAATCAGCCACTAGATACTAAAATGATGTCACATAAAGGATGCTTAACTTTACAATTTGTACTGTTATGAAGTCAGTAAAACGTGAGCATGCGATAAACCATGAGAAAAAATATGCACTCTATAGGCTACAACACAGCATGACAACTTCAAAACCAAGAAATAAATATATTTGTTACTCTTAATTTTGATTATATTTATTCTTGAAACTGAACAATTTTAGGGACCCTGCAAAACTACATCTAGCATAATTTATAGCTTACTTTTTCAAATTCAGTACAAGGTGTGCATTCTTCTTTCACTTCAAATTCTTCAGTTTGCCAACAAGTTGACAAAGAATTGTTAATTTCTTTGTGAAGATTCCTCTGTCTTTTCTTATGGTCTGGTGTTAACATGCTTTCCAAAGCTAAGATCAGAATGCAAGAGCTAAAAAAGAAATATAATGAAAAACCGATGCAACAACAGTTATTTGCAACATGAGAAGAAAAAATATATATTATGCACATCTTTCACATTTAGTGGGCTTTTAAAATTATGGAAAATGTATCTGTATTCTGGAAAAAATTTGCTTAATTTATGACAATATTCGTTGCCTAAAATATTAGGTTGAACAAATCAAATTTTTTAACCACACACACACACATAGTCTAAAACACAAAATTGCAATGGAAAAAAACAACATAAAACAATAGGCTTTTTAACAACCACCATTTTATATAATTTATTAGTTTTGTTTTATAATTCATGTAAATGACTTACAGGTTTTAAGTTTAAGTTTAATAATCAAGTTTTATTTCATAAATATGCGATTTCAAACAGCTGGATCTTATTCAATAAAAAGCAGCCTAAAGCAATTATGATAATAAACCTCATATAAAAGATACGAAAATTAATACTTTCCAGTTAAAAATACTTATGGCATACTCCAATACTTTAAATATACATCTCCTTTAACTACACGGCTATCAAAAGCAATTTGTTCCTCATGGTTAACTTTTAGTTTTACACTACAACTAGAATTATGCCTAATACCAAAAGTAAAACTAAAAAGCACAAGTTTAACGAAAAGTAGAACATTCAACACTGAAAGAAAAATCCTTACTCTAAATTTACGGTAGACGAATGTTCCAACATTAAAATAAAATCTCAGCCTAATCCAGTAGTAACTGGACAAATTGTTGCTTGATAGACTAGAACGGTAGAAGTAGTACTACAGCTAAATTATTAATATAACCCTACTTTTATTTCATACAGTATTTGTATCACTAAACTAACCCTACAATTACAACAAATACTTCACACTAAGTTCACTGTTATAAGTTTACTAAAACTAAAAGTAAAGCTAGACATCGACTATGAAATGAATTTCAGACAACTAGTACTAGAGCAGTAGTACTACCTAATGATTGAGAACTAACCATACTAATATAACAATGGAAACTAGCATTTGCCGAAATGTGAAAAGTTCGATCATCTTATTTTTTCAAAATCTTCAGTTTTTTTTTTTCTTCTTCCCACTTTTGAGTTCAACGCGACCGTAAAAAGATAATATTAGTACTAACAAAATATATATAACAATTACACTAAGCAGCTAAGGTTACGCCCCCTTTGCGATTTTAAAGCTTTAAGTAAAATAGGTTTCAAAATGAATAAATGGCAGTTAGATAAAGATTATCACAGCTATCGAACTATTTCAGTAATAAAGCAGGGGTTTTCCTAATGTGCAGTTTATCACAAATTGTGCAACTGTAAAAATATTTTTGCAGTTGAAAAGTAACCTATAAAAGTAAGTTCAAGTGGATAAATATTTTAAAAAACATACTTAAGATTATAAAATGCCATTCCAGAGATGATAAATAAATGTATTTGCTAGAATAAGGTGCAATAAGGCGTCATGTACCAAAAAATGATGAAGTTAAAATATAATCGTGCTGTTGAAAAAACATCCTGAGGAAAATCTCTGTAATAACGTTAATTACAAAAGCTTAATTCATTTTTTACATTTTTGATTGATATCTTTAATGTATTCTTGAAAATATTTAACATTCGATACATTAATGTCTGTTGTTAGGCGTGGATGTGTGTGAAATTAAGCAGAAAGATACATAATCGACTATCTCTGCTCACCATGGGTATCGAAACTCGATTTCTAGCGGTGTGAGTTCGCAAACATACCAATGCGCCACTGGGGGAGGGGAGCTGTTGTTAGGCATAAAGTTACACAATGAGCTAGCTGTTCTCCGCCCACTGTGGTATCAAATCCATATATTTATGAATACGAAAACTTACAAAAAAAAAAAGCCTCTTCCATAAAATACACAATTATGATACTTACAATAGATAATATTGTCTTTATTTCACTAATTTAGAGGTATTTTACTTAATATTCACTAGTTAGTATTGCTGCAAATGTTTTATTTAATTGAATGTATTGTTAAGACAGCGGAAGTCACACGACGCTGGGAGCATGCGCGTTGGAGTTTCTAGAAGGATCATGAATTTTCCTGGCAACTCTAGTTGGTTCGAGGCGCCCTCTTTTTTAGTATATAAGCCTGGCGAGAAAAACCAGCGCGATAAAAGAGATAGAGAGATAGATACGCAGACAGATTGAAGATGGAGATACTTGAGTCAAGCGAACAGTAGGCACCGTAAATAAAGTGTGTGAATCTCTGAGATTTATAGCGTGTGTTATAAAAGTTGTTACGTGAATAAGTACGTGCATTTATTTATTTTCCCGCAGATACTTTTTGTTTGTTTGTTGAATTTCACTCAAAGCTATGAAAGGGCTATTTGTGCATAGCCATCACTAATTTTGAACTGATATACTAGAAGGAAGACAACTAGTTAAAAGCATTCGCCGCCAATTCCCAGAGTATTATTGTCTTTAACCGAATAGTGTGGTTTGACCTTCCCTTATATCGCACTCATGGTCCCAAAATGTGGAGTGAGATTTTGCAACAGCAGGTCATGAACCATGTACTCTCACATTCATAGTCACACTCTGATTTTTCTAGATTCAACATAGACGTAAGTGTGCAATCTTTTAAGAAGTGAAAGTCAAAAAAGTTAAAGTGTTGTAATTAGAATCTATCGTTACCTTGTAAAACTTTCTGAAACTTCCGTAGTGAATACTGTTACGTCTCTGCTCGTTTGATAATTGCCTTAATTTTCGGTATAAATTCTTTCCGAGGAACTTCAGCGATACAAGTCATTTCTTAATTAAAACTAGTTTATTCTTTCTCGATACAGCTTTGTAATAATGAATATGCTTCTTTCGATGTCACACATGACTAGTTTTGTTGATATAAAGTTTGTAGAATGTCATTTAACATATTTCGAATGGTCCGTCATATTAATGACGTAATATCTCAACATCCTCAAAGGTACGGGCGTGGCACTCATAGGAATCAGATTCCTTATGCTTTTTGTCCTGTAGAATCCACGATAAAGTTTTATATATTCAAATTTTTGGTTAGGCTGAAACGTTGCACTTTGACACCGAATTACTGGAAAATGAAAATCCTACTCACTTGTTTTTTCTTCTTGTGGTTCAGGCTTGACCAAATTCCAATTTAGGAACATGCATAATCTCATTTTTTATTAACTTACTTATTAATGTGAATAATATGTTCTCAATTATCATATTTCTATTAAGAGTTAGGAATTTCCATACTCACTACCATTGATTTTTTGTGTAAATTATAGAAGTTAATTTTCGCATCAACAAGAAAATTATTAAAATTGTATTTACAATAATGTTGCCATACTTTGATAAAGCGAGTAAAATCAAAAAGAAAAGTTCAGCTATGTAATCATTTCAGTGTTACATCGTGGGAAATGAATATATTGTTACGTATCTGGTCGTTTGTTAATTTCCGGTATAAATTCTTTCCAAGGACCTTCAGCGATACAAGTCCTTTCTTGGTTAAAACTAGTTTATTCTTTCTCGTTACAAACTTTGTAATACACTTAATTAACACAGTCACTTTAAACTTAACAACCTTTATAACACATGCTATAAATCACAGTGATTCACACACTTTACTTACGGTGCCTACTGTTCGCTTCACCCAATTATCTCTATCTTCAATCTCTCTATATCTCTTCTATATATCTGCCTCTTTATTTGCCGGGCTTATATACAAAAAAAGAGGGCGCTTAGAAAAGACTAGAGTTGCCAGGAACAATCATGATCCTTCTAGAAACTCCAGCGCGCATGCTTCCAGCGTCGCGTGACTTCCGCTGTCGTAACAATATGTTACCAGAAGTAGAGTTTGTTTGATTTTTAATTTTCGCGCAAAGCTACACAAGGGCTATCTGCGCTAGCCGTCCCTAATTTAGCAGTGTAAGACTAGAGGGAAGGCAGCTAGTCAAATCCACCCACCGCCAACTCTTGGGCTACTCTTTTATCACCAAATAATGCGATTGACGTCAATTATAACCCCTCCACGGCTGAAGGGGCGAACATGTTTGATGACACGGGGATCCGAACCCGCGACCCGCAGATTGCGAATCGAGCTCCCTAACCACCTGGCCATGCCGAGCCATAAGTAGAGTTTGTGAAGGATTTATTTTTATATATTTATTTTAATATCGACGTTAGATTAAATTTATATTTAGAAATATGCATAGCTTATACTGTTAAATATTTATTGCGAAACTCCCGCCTATTCTCTATAGTTGTAGAAGATTCTCGACTGTAAGAATCAACAATATACGTGTGTGTACGTGAACGCCAGTGTAGCTTTGTACTGTTACGTAATCTGAATTTTCGAGAAACTCTCTACACGCCTATAAATATCACCAACATGACGCGCCTAAAGACAGTATCTATTATTAGGTTGCTATAACTGGTGTGCTATAAACTTCGTAAGCTATAACTGTGATTAGCGTTTATTAATCGGGAACTTCAGATATATTGACCAGGAATGTTTATAAATTTCGAACATTATAAACCACTTAACTTCAGTGGATTCACATAGGACATTAGTACTTTTACGAAGACATTATATAACTTCATCGGTAAAAGAAACTCAACCTGTAATCGGCGTGATCAGCGGGAACTACAGATACTAAATTAGAGATATATCGGCACTTATTCAACTAATAAATTTAAATTGTCATTTAGCTCGATTTCATACCATTCGAAATTGTAATACGTAACAAGTTTAAAACAAGATTATTAAAAATTGTTAATTTAAAAAGGATAGGGAGGGATCGTCAAAATAATACAGAAACAAGATGGCTAGCTTTAAGTAAAAACGCAATGGCAAAAAGTAGACAAACAAGCTTAAGGCTTAAGACATAGCGTTGACATAAATCCTTCAAGCTACAAATCCTTATTTTAACTCCTTTTCTGAAAGCTGTAATATTTAGGAAAGTCAAAAACTAGATTTATAGCTTGAAAAAATATTGCCAACGCTATGTCTCAAACCTTAAGCTTATTTGTTTACTTTTTTTGCGATTGCATTTTCACTTAAAACTAGTTATCTTGTCTCCGTATTCTATTTCCCATTTTAAAATTAACAATTTTTAATAATTTTGTTTATTTGATTTTTGTTATGTCCATCATGGACATAAATCTGCATAATAGCAAATACTGTCCTATTTGAAACAGTTTAGTTGGTGTATGACGATCTCTCGGGAAACAATGACAACCGTTGGATTCGCTTCATGCAAATTGGATGGCTATTGCTCCTGATATCACTGTCACAATGTTAACATTGATAGTAGTACTGCATATATGATCACTATGATGTATGGTGATCAACATATCACATGTCATGCATATGCTTGTAAAATATATATACAGCTACTATATTTATACCCTGTAGCTATATGGGGAGTCTGTAAACACTAGATTGGAGGGACTACTGAACTATACTGGAATGGTATATGGACTGGATTTTGTAATCGCATGAGATCTATACATGCATGCACATGCAATGCATGTTGGTTAGTGTATATATATATATACACCTGGAAAAAAGTTAAGCACCCCCGTGTTTTTTTCAAGTGATTCAGATTCGACGTTCTTGTGACTGATTATAAATTACCATTCAATCTAAACGTGTTTATCAAATGAAAGTATGCATTATTGGGCACCGTAAAATAACAATTTTTAAT